CTTAAAGCATGACATAAATGCTAGCTACTATTTATGAGTAGTAATACTATTTTAAAAGTAACAGTGGATCTTTAAAAATATAGGAAATGCCATATTCCATGTCAATGCTTGAATCACAGGAGAACTAATTGTAAATACCTTCTTAGGTACCTTCAAAGAACACTGAAAATCTGGATAAAAGTTTAAAGTCGGCAGGTATTTATTATGTTCCTATCACTCTTGGCTAGCTTTTATGGGGAAGCTGTCCAAGAGAAATAAAAGACAAGAACGATGACATTGAGGAAGTAACAGTGCAATTGGGGAAATAGGAAACTGCTGGAAATAGAATTTTAGAGCTCCAAAGGACCACAGAGACTGTATAGTTAGTCCAGCCCCCTCATTTTAAATGCCAGGCAATGAGTACCCAAAGAAGTTGAGACTTCCCAAAGGTCACACAGCTGGCACTGACTTGGAAATAGTTGCAACTAGAACTCTATCCCAAGGTTTTTTCTACCACTCTCTGCTGCTTCTAATCAAATTCTCAGTTGTACAATACAAATGACAACAGTTATACAGGAATTCAGAGGAAGGAAAACACCAAATAGCTCCCCATATGATGGAGAGACTTTATGTATGAGGAATCACAAAATTAATTAAGTGTGGATGTAATTGCCAAATAATTACACATTGAGATGGGATAGTATATCTCAGAGAATATAGCTGTCATGAGTCAAGAGAGAGGCTAATGCTTTTCACATTAGAGTTTAAAGTATGAGTTAATTGAAAATACTTTTTGCTTGCCTTGCTTTTAGCATTTCTGAAATACTTCAAAATCTTTTCAACCATTTTGCTGATGAGCAAACTGTGATGGCAACATGAAATGACTTGCCCATAGTCAAAAGTCAATCAATCAAAGGCTGAAAATAGAATCCACATGTGCGGACTTGCAGAATTGTGTTTGAGCCACCAGCCACCACTCTCTCATCACACTATATTAACTCTGTTTCTGACCAGGGGAAGATTGTTAATGGTGAGTCTGATCAGAACATGAAATATGTTCCCAAGAGAACTGTAGAGACACTATCCCATGACTAATTTAAACTAACTAGAGAAGCTGGAAAATATTCTCAAGTGTTAAAATATATATTCCATATTACAGAATGAACTTTATCTACCATTGATCAAATCCACCAACACTGAAAAAGGAAGGAAGGAAGGAAGAAAAAAAGGAAGGAAACAAGCACTTATTAAATAATTACCATGTGCCAGGCTCTACTTTAAACACTTTAAAAATCTCATTTGATCTTTATATCAACCCTGGAAGATAGTTGCTATTATTATCCACATTTTACAGATGATGAAAATGAGACATACCAAGGTTATATGACTTGCACAGGGTCACACAACTAATAAGTGTTTGAGTCTACATTTGAACTTAGATCTTCCTTATTCCATGCCCAGATCTCTCTTTACTGCACCACCTAACTTCCAGGAATATCCATCCTAAGTTTATGTGAATGTATGAGAGCTGTCAATAATATGCTCTCCCATTATAGGCACAGGGACCTGATCTGTAATTTCTTTGGTATAGGTGTTAAGGTTTAGAGGTTTAGGAGTGCTGGGACGCACATACTGTGATTTTGGGGTCTTCTTCCAGCCAAAGACAAGGTTTATTAGAACATCGATCGGGGCTGGGGTGGGGTGGGTGAGATTGTAAAGAATCCACAATATCGGCCAGACTCTTAAGGAATCTAAGCATTTGTATCACTTACGCAAGTGGGCCATATTTTAAAGAATCTGAGCACCTTAATGGAGGCCAGATGGACCTTATATACAGAAAGACTGTGGGAGGGATCTAGGAGTGACCAAGTGGTCTGGGGTGACTAGGAGGAGGGGTGTAAGAGGCAGTAAGAAGGCCAGCTTTGTTGGATTGTAGACATGAAGGGATTCAGTGTATAATGAACTTGGAAAGTCGGTTTGGCACCAAGTTGGGAAGAATTTAAGTGCCCAGAAGATCATATATTGTATGTGTACTACAGAGGAACAAAGGGACAATGGGAGAAATTCCTAAATTTGAATGTCTTTTAATTTTAGTGGGGCTATTTTCAATTTAAGAGAAGGGGGAGTCCCCACCACGAAAGAGATTTACATGGTGTATATGGGTTATCTGGTCTATTAAAAGGCAAATTTAGATTCTCTTTAATATAATGTCATAGTCATTTTCAAGTCAGTCTGTATGTTTTATCAAAGTAGAGTTACAATATGCTGCCACCAATCTGTAATGCCCGATTGCTAAATATTTTTCCTGTCCTTCACTTATTGTCACCACTTAAGAATAAAAATAAGGTAACCCACTGATGTGTAGAAATGTTTTTTTTTCCTTCAGATACAGAAACAGACAAAAAACAAGGAGACAAGACTTTCTCCTGGACCCCTTACTAGAACAAAACCTAGTTCATGTCAATAAATGGGGCACAAGCAGTCAAGAACCCATATTTCAGCTAATCACACATCTCTTGGGTTCTATGCATCTTTATCCTAGGATATGTTGGAGAGTGTTAAGATTTAAGTACAATCTTGACTCTGCTGGCCTTTGTGTATGTATGTGTGTGTGTGTGTGTATACATATACATACACACATACACACACACACACACACACACACACACACACACACATATATATATATATATATATATATATATATATATATATATATACATATATTAAGAGTCTTACAGTAATACTTGGGTTTTGTTTGCTTCTTTTTTGTTTTTGTAGAAAGCTGAGTCAGGTAAATTCCCATGATACCCAGCACCAACACTGGACAGAATTTTCAATTCACTGCTGCCATCTCAACAACTCTAAATATGAATCTAGGCTTTGCCAACTCAATTGAATAAAAAGTAAAGAACAAAGTCAGGCAGTGTAAACATGACTGAATAAGCTGGGTTTTAAAATATATATGGGCATCTAGCTACAGTTTTAAAGTGTAAAAAGTATAGGTTATCTTATGGTGCTTCTGTGATAGTCCAATCTCACTGGTCATCAAAAGAGGAATTCTCCCTCTGTATATATTTTTATTTCCACAGAATACCCAAGACCATTAAATAACACTTAAAAATAATTCCGCTGCATCAGCAAGCAATCATCATGACGCACTGCTCAGACTTTCAACTTCTTAACCACATGATTTGTCCAGACTGCCCGGGGGGGAATTCAGAACCCTACAGTATTCACTCTAAATGTTTCTCAGGAAAGATCTTTTTTCCTAACCACACTGACTCCCCAATAGATTAGGTTTACTCTCTCTGACAGTATCAGTAGTTTTTCCTTTTATTATGAAGAGAGAGCAGAAATTCTATTCACTAAATGTAAATTAAGTTTAAGACCTTTTCAGATTGTACAGACTAGATTTACCCTTGTGATGTTATCTACAATTTTTCCTTTTCATTAAGAAGGTAAAGCAGGAATTCAGTCAGCAGCTGTGAATTAAGTTCAGGACCTTTCCATTTGGAGCAAACAACCATACAATGACATTTATCTTCAGGCTAGTTTAAGAATACATAGAATGATACTGTTGTAAGGGACCACAGAGGCCACCAAAACAAACTTCCTCATATGCTGATAAGGAAATAGAGTTAAAATGACATACCCAAGTTCACAGAATTCAAGCCCAGGTCTCTGGTTCTCGGAGTGCCTTCATTCTTCATTAAGAGCAGCTTCATATCTGCAGAGTTAGAAGGGATCTCAGAAGCCAACTCATACTTGATAGAAATTTCCTCAACAATTTATTGACCTTAAGGCTGTCAATCAGCCTTTGTATCAAGTCCTGGCATGTGAGAGAACCCATTACCTCTCAAGGTAACTGATTCCACTTTGGGAAAGCTCTAATTATTAGGAAGTTTTTACTGACATCAAGCCTAATTTGTCCCATTGCAAATTTCATTTATTGCTCATAGTTCTGCCTTCTAGGGTCGGGTAGAACAAATCTAATCTCTCTTCCACATCAAGAAAGAAAAAAAAACTTGGACTTGGCAATCCTATTTTACTCCCCAACCCCCACAAATGACTTCTTTTTCTAGACTGAATACCCACAGTTCCTTTAACTATTTCCAATCTTCATATAGCATGAATTGTAGGTATTCACCATTCTTCTTACTCTCATCTGGCCACTCTCTAGCTTGATAATGTTCTTCCTAAAATATTTTCCACCTCTCTACCACCCCACCCCAAAACACTAAGACCATTACATTCTTTTCGATGTGGCAATGTGAGCTGACAAGGACAGAGTACACTGGAATACTCTGCCTATCTTAATGTAGTATGATTGCATTTCCTGCTTTTCCTGCCATGTGACACTGGTCACTCAAATTGAATTTGCATTTCCCTAAGACCCTCAAGTCTTTTTCAAATGGGCTACTTACTATGTAGTTATGTCTCCCTAATATTGAACTTAAGAAGCTTACTTTTTAACCTGCATGGAAGTCTTTATGTATATTCCTATTAATTTTCATCTTGTTCTTTTTATTTGTCCACCATTCCAGCCTATGACAATATTTTGAATTTTGATGCTGTCATTTACTGTGTTAGCTTTTCTCCCCAGCTTTCTGTCATATGAAAATTTGATAAAGATGCAGTCAATACCCTTATCCAAATCATTGATAAAAATGTTACAAAGTACAGGGCTTAGTAGAGATAATGAATATTTTCTTCAAGCAGAGAGTCAAGAGGTATTGGGCATGATATACATCAGATAAAAATCACACTCTTTTTTTTTTTACTGGCAGAAAATGACTATTGGTATGAGTCATCACCAACTGAGCTTTCTGTCTGTCAGATAATTAACCCCTTAGAGCAAAGGATAAAATTGATATTAAATTAGAAGAATAGAAGGAGAACATGCATACGGTTAAAATGACTCCAATCCAACTGATTTAAAGTGATTATTGATTCTGCAAAATTGGAAATGGATAAAATAAATTTATTTATGACAATCCAATTATTATAATTTCTTACAGAATTTTAACCAGTATAAAACAACTGCCACAAAGAAGAGGCATAAACACGTCCAGAAATTTCCTCAGGTACCAAACAATTTCCTTGTCAGACATAGTGACAATAGGAAAGTCTAGCACCTGTTTAGAACATAAGCTCATTTGTCAGACTATATCAAGCAGGATAGAGCCATAGGTAAATAAAACATTTATTAAGGATCTGCTGTGTGCCAGGGACTGGGCTAAGTTCTGAGGAAAGAAATATAAGTAAAAAAGAAAGTTCAGATCTTCAAAGAGCTTACAATCTAATGGGGAAAGATATAAAATGGAACTGGGAAGTTAGGGGACAAGGTATAAATAAAGGTGAGAATGGTAACTGCATAAGAGTGAAGCTTCTGGAGAGGTGAAAGAGAAGCTTGGAGAGCAAAGATTGGGGCCTCGAGCAAAGCACTTTATGAAATGGTGGTCCAGACTAGATACCTAACAGTTAAATATAGAAGGCCAAGGGGTTGGGGGCATCTACAGAATGAGAAGTTTGGTAGTGAAAAAGTGGGAAAAGTCCAGAGAATGAGTAGGGCCAGGAGTGAACTGAACATGGCTTAGGTAACTTATGAAATTGTGGTCTGGGCCAGGTTTACACTGATCAGAAGAAAGAGTGGCAAGATGGGGACATCTCCAGTGCGAGAAGGCTTCTAGAAAGCAGGTGGAGAAGAATTTGGCATGAGATCCAACTAAGCTAGATCATTCTAAGAGCATTTGTACATGAAATACTGATATTATTTCAGTGATTGTATGTGTACAAATTATTGAAGACCACGTTTTCCAAGAATCAAAACTTTATGTGTGAAAAGTAAAATAGAATGATGTTTGGTGGGTTTAAGTAGATACAACGTATTGTCAATGATGATTCATGGGTGATAAGTAGTACAATGGACATCATCCACAATCTGTATAATTAGACAGGGTGCTGCTGTGTCAGTTAGCAAGAACAAGAAATTGTTACCTAGTCCTGATTATGTAGACATTTATATGAAGGTACAGTAGTGGACTTATCACTGAATCTGAAATAAACTTCTAAAATTACCTTGTCAATTTAATTAAATTTGTTAAATAAATATATGGAGACTATGGTGATTAAAATGAACATTTATAATGCACACTAGACAGTATAAAAGGCAATGAAATAGAGTAAGAGGACACACAGTTTTACTTCTATCTTTTAATTGTTTCTAACTGTTCATTTTTACATTTATGCGTTTTAAAAAGAATATATTGCATTACTCTCCATATCAAAGATACAGGTGCTTCCTTCTTCTGGTGATGTAAGAGATATCCATCTGGTGATGAAAAGTCCAAATATTGACATTGCACTGGCATCCACTAAAATATTAAGAGACCTAGACAAAGGTTCCCAGAAAACTGGGTAGATTCTTTATGGAGGATTTATTGGAGGAAATGAGGACAGGGTGAGAAGACCTAGATACATTATAATCTAAATTTGTGGAGGTGGGAAACACATCAATAAGCTGCAGATCCTGAAAGAAAGAAGATAACTTTCTCCCAAAATCCAATTTTATTTCTTTTCCATGTTATTAAAATACTTCATTAAAACTCAATTAGATAACATGATATATGCCTCCTAGATATATATTTTAAATCTAAATTTTTAATTAAATATACTTTATAAACCTAAAGAAAAATATAAAAAAGAAAGGCAGGAGTAAAACTGAATATGTAATTTGTTGCTCATAATGTTTATTTTAATCATCATAGTTTACTTAAGAATATATTTTTTCAAATAGTTTAAGTAAATTAACAAGATAATTTCTATAAATTTATTTGACATATAGCAATAAATCTTTTTTCAGTAACCTCACATATATACCCACACAACTGTGTATTTGGGTGCCCAACTATCAACATATTCTCTTGACTTTGAATTAATGATACCACCGTGAAATGAAATTGCTCTTAAATACAGAAAAGTTGGCAGCTGAGAAACTAAAAACTCAATATGGTCCTTGTGGCACCCTGAGGGTGGATCAGCAACAGGCAGTGTTTTTTATTTTTTTTTAATATCATCTTCCTCAGCTACCTTTTATTATCTTTCCCCTTAGATTTGACTGTTGAGTAATCTGCCTACCTACCCATTCTACATGTTACATTTTTTTTGGAGTAGTGTCATTTTAGCAATGGCTCATTTGCATTTGTCCACCTACAGAATTTAAAATAAATGAGTTTTAAAGTACATTTATTGCCAGCAAATTGACCATTTGGAGATTGATTAGATTTTTCAGCTGTCATAACAGTCAAATGCCAAGCAGTTAAACAAAACTGCCAAAGAGTTGATCTGTTTGATCACTGTTTGATTAGCCCAAATGAAAAGAAAACTGACCAGATGATTCAACATATATTTAAGTTGAACATCTATTTATTTCTGTTTTACAAAAAGATCATTTTTCAAAACTGGCGCATTACTTGAAATATTTTCCCTCCTCATCTCTGTCTCTTAGTTTGCCTGGCCTCCTTCAATACTCAGCTCAAATTTTACCATTTGTAAAAGGCCTTTCCTGGTGCAACTAGATGCTAGTGCCTTCGCCTCTAAAATTTCCTTTCATCTACTCTGTATATATCTTGTATATACCTAAGTGTTTACATGTTGTTACATGTTGACATCATAACATCAACTCCTTGAAGGCACGAGTGATTTTGCCTTTCCTTACATTCCTAGAACTTAGCACATTGACTGTCATATAATAAACACTTGTTGATTGATTGTTGATTGACTGATTGTGAAAATCAACAAAGTTTAATCCTAAATGTAGATTCTTTATTTCCTCTCCCAAATGCAACCACTACTTGTGAAATTGTTAAAAGGCTAACTTTATGGGGACTTTCTCATTTACAATGGATTGACTGCATTCATATAATGTAATTTAATTCAATCATTTCCCAATTGATTGCCATCCCATTTGTATTCACTTCTTAGTCACTACAAAAATAGTTGTTATACCACAAAAACAGTTGTGGGGATAATATATCCACTGATGTGCCATTTGGAAATTAGTCATATTTTGTCATCTCATGGGGCTCTCCTGTATGAACTGCTTCTTGCAGAAGCGAGAGTAGTGATGGATCAAATCAGGTTTATCATTATATGGTTTTTGTTATTATTTATTGTCTTTGAAAATGTAAGTAAACTCTCCTATTTGGAGACTCTTTTTCTAAGCAAATAAACATCTATATTAAGTATGACTCACTATAACTCCTTTTTTTGTTTGTCAATAATTAATAGTGTTCTTTTAAGCATAAATGCTTGTATCCTTGCACATCTGCTTGTCAAAGGTGCAACAAAGACTTTTTTTTTACTCTTAATATCTGCAAAAGGTTTTGTCCTCCCACTTTAAGATGATAGGAGTTCCTTTCAAAGTTATTTCCAGGACAGTTATAAACATTCAAGCTGAGTAGACTGTGAATCCTGAGATAACTACCATCATAGAAAGTCACCACCTATTTAGCATCACATAGCACATATCGGTACACAATAGGTTTCTTTCCACATTACAGGCACCTATGTGTAAGGCTGCTGGGTGTTTTGAATAAGTGCCAAACCTAGAAGAAATGAAGCAAGATATTAAAAATGAAAAAAAAACCATTTCATTCAAATCATTTTAAGTCCTCTGGAGAAATAGCTGGTCACTGCATTAACCAAAGCCCTTAGGCCTTTCAAAGTTGTTTTATTTACAACACTTCTGAACTTGCACAAGCTGTCCTATTCCTGCTCGTGTCTCTGCATCAGTTCAGCCTACCCAGGATTCTTTAAAATGGTCTTTTCTGTCATTTCTTGCAGGACAATACTATTCCATCAAATTCAAATACTACCATTTGTTCAGACATTTCTTGCTTGTCTCAAAAGTGATGGAATGCATCCTTTTAGATTCAAATCATTTTCTTATTTTCCTGTCTTTCTTTTCTTTGTCTCATCTTTTTAAGCACATTTCAAGCTCTACATTAGTATGAGGAATTTTATTTCACTTGTGACTATTTCCTTCTTCAGTATTATCTTCTCTCTACCATCTCCATCCACCTTCCTTCTTGCCCTTTTGAGTTCTACATCAAAATATATGTCTGTGCTCAATTTTCCTTTGTACATTTCATATAAAAGTAAAGAGCTGCTTCCTCCATCCTCCAACATAAGAGGAAATATCAGGTCTTATCTCTTTCTTCCTCCATTCTAAATAAGTGTATTTCTTTTTCCCTCTCTTCTCTTTCCCTTCTTCAAACACTTATCAAAGAACCAATTTATCAATAGGATCTCTATTTTCCCCCATTTAAATCCCTCGATATCTTTTTTTCACTTTTTTTCGTGAGGCAATCAGGGTTAAGTGACTTGCCCAGGGTCACACAGCTCTCACTACCTTTCAAAAGCATTGAAGTTCTGAAGGGACACTTGATCTAAGTTCTTGTGTTCGTATTTCAGAGTTCCTATCAGCTCTGGACTTTCATCAGAAATGACTTTATTGCTTTAAAGGTCCATTTCCCCCTTAAAGTTTATATTCAGCTTTGCAGGCTATGTTTTTCTTATTTGTAAGCCTACATTTTTTTTCTCCTTTTAGAAATTTTTATTCCAAAATCTCCTCTCATTTCATGTAAAAATTGCCAAGTCCTATGTGATCTTAATTGTGGACTTTCAATAGTGGACTTAATTGGGACTTTCAATGCCTTTCTGGATTCTTAAAGTATTTTTATCTTTGATGTCAAAACTCTGGATTTTGTCTATGATTTTCCTGGGACTTTTCCTTTTGAAAAAGTTTCTTTTAAAATGTGATGAGTCGATTTTTTTTTTCACTTTGTGCTCTGGCTTTATAGATATGGTCAGTTTTATGATTTCTTCAAAATTAGTGTTCAGGATTTAAAAAAAAATTATACTTTTTAGCAAGTCCATTTAGTTTTTTTTTTTTGAGACAGTCAGGGTTATGTGACTTCCCCAATATCTCATAGCTAGTAGTATCTGAGGCCAGATTTGAACTCTGGTTCTCCTGACTTCAGGGCTGATGTTCTATCTACTGCACCACCAAGCCACCTTGAGTCCCATCTTGAGTCCCCTGATTCTTAACTTTTCTCTTTGTCACTTGCTTTTTTCCAACTTGGTTGATTTTGATATCTAATATCTTACATTTTCTTCTATTTTGTTCTAATATTTCTTACCATCTCATCAAGTCACATAGTTGTTTGTTATATTCTAGTTTGCAAGCTTTCCATTGCATGGATTTACCAGTTTCTCTTCTAAGCTACTTATTCTTCTTCCAAAATAAAAATAAAATTAAAATACTATCTGTGAATTAAGGGGCGTGCCACTTGATCAGTCAGGGCTCTTAACATTTCAAGAACACTTGAAGAGGTAGGAGTGGGAAGTGGCTCACTGATAAGGACTGAAATCAGAAGTAGAGCTTATTAGTGATATAAGCAGGACTACTACCAACTGAATCAAATCATATTCTTGCAGAAGTCATTATGTGAAGATCACAAGATTTCTGGTACTTTTGTCATCATGGAGAAGCTTGGTGTACAGAAAAATCTATTGGACTGGAGAAGAAAGCCCTTCACATAAAGTTTTGCAATGAGTCATTGGCAGCTTTCCCACTCCTAACATGCCCTATCAATCTGAGATCCAGACAGGTGTAATTG